CTCAAAGCAGTCCACCTCCTTGGCCTCCCAAAGTGCTGGGATTACAGGCATGAGCCACCGCGCCCAGCCTGGCTCCCAGAGTTCTAGTCAAACATCTGCATTTGCCTGTTGGGCATTTCTACCTCAATTTACTGCTATCTACTTAAACTCAACATGCCCCAGAGCTGGCTCATCATGAGTACTGCACACAGTGACGGTCATAGAGCCCTGAGGAAGGAAGGCTATAGTGGGCATGTGGTTTACAGAAGGCTCCATACATGGCCTACTGCTGGAGATGGTGGCTGGGAAGCCTCGGAGGAGTGGCTGGGGTTACTGGAAGTGGGCAGTTTGTCGATCCTTGGGGGAGTAGCAGAGAGGTGGTCTTACCAGAGCAGAGGTTCCTTTTGTGGGTATGTTCACCGGGGTTGGGTGTGTGGGTAAAGTAGTAAGCAATTTGGCATCAAATTGTGGAGGGCTTGAACACCAGCCCCAAGAATTTGGGCTTTACCTCATGAGTGATGGGGTGACATTGTAAGAGCAGAAGGGCAGTAATCCCAGCATTTTGGGAGGCCGAGATGGGCGGATCATTTGAGATGAGGAGTTTGTGACCAGCCTGGCCAACATGGTGAAACCCCATCTCTACTAAAAATGCAAAAATTAGCCGGGCGTGGTGACGGGTGCCTGTAATCCCAGCTGCTCAAGAGGCTGAGGCATGAGAAGCAGTTGAACCTGGGAGGCAGAGGTTGCAGCGAGCTGAGATTGCACAACTGCGCTCCAGCTTGGGCAACAAGAGTGAAACTCCATCTCAATAAAAAAAGAGGCATTATGAGTTTTCTCCCTGTTTGGACTGTAAGATCCCAGTGGTTCGGGGAGAGACTGTCACATACTCTGCACCTTGTATTCCCTTAGTGTTGAGTACAGAGGCTCCTAACAAAAGTCCATTGACAAAAGGGTAATTTCCTTGACATAAATAAGGAAAGAGAAGGGGGTTTGCATTTACTGGAGAAGAGAGGAAGATTTTGGATTTAGACAGGTTGTCAGATGTGCCAGGAGCCATATGGACCCCACTCCATGTCTGCCCCCCACCCAGGTCTATCCTGTCTTCAGGCTCCCTGGTATCTACCATTTCTTTACAGAGCAGCTGCCATTAACCACATTTATTGGGGTTCCTCTCCCTCAAGATGGGTTGTAGAGCAGAAACCAGCTTTATTGCTGTGTTCTTTCCCTCCAAAAACAATCTATCAAACCAAAGAAACAAAACTAGCATATAGGCCTTTTCTTGCTATATTGCTCTGGAGTGAGCTGTCAAGAATAATAATATATAATAATAATGCCCTTCAATGTAAGGACATTCCAAAACTTCCTGAGTCTCAGAACGTTCAAATAGTCATTGCTTCTGGTCTACATACAGTTATTGTCTTCCTTTTGTAGGTGATAACCAAAAGATCATTGTAGGCTGGGTGTAGTGGCTAACATCTGTAATCCCAGCACTTTGGGAGGCAGAGGCAGGCAGATCACCTGAGATCAGGAGTTCAAGACCAGCCTGACCAACATGGCAAAACCTTGTCTCTACTAAAAATACAAAAATTAGCTGGGTGTGGTGGTGCACTCCTGTAGTCCCACCTACTTGGGAGCCTGAGGCAGGAGAATCACTTGAACCTGGGAGGCAGAGGTTGCAATGAGCCGAGATCACGCCACTGCACTCCAGTCTGGGTGACAGAGCAAGACTCTGTCTCAAAAATAAAAGGTCATTGTAATTCCTCTTTCTTCCCTCAACCTCTGGCCCATTGCAGATCATACAATCCCTCTCTCTGGCATGTACTATGTGTGTGTGTTGTGGGGGTGGGGGCAGGGTATGTCTTTTTCCTTAAAGCTCCTGTATAATAAAATTAACCTCAAGGATTTTCCATGTTTTGAACCAAGCTGGGGAGAGCAAGGTAACCCTAGGACAATTGTTCATAATTTGGGTCCAGACCTCTTGGAAAACCCAATGACAACTATGGCATTGCTCCTCAAAAAATGGCCAGGCATACACAACTCTGCAACAATTCTGGGGTTTCATGGATGTCAAGTTGGACATAGAGCTCCTTAGATATACAGGATCATCATAATTTGACAAGCCCCTTTTACTTTTTCCCTATCCCTACAGCTCCTGCCTGAAGAGTCACTAAGTCTCTTTTCTCAAGAATGTCATAAACAAGCCATGCAAGGTTTCAAGCTCTACATGCCACGGGGTCGGTACTGGCGGCTTCATCTCTGTCCTGGTAACTCCTCATCCCAGCTTCTCCTTCCAGGGTTCCAAGGGGGTAATAGTGTCTCAGCCCTGCCAAATCCCAATTCCCCTCCACTGTCTCCATCCTTGTCCTCAGCTTCTGTTCCCTTCCCTCCTGAAATCCTACCCTCTTCTCCCAAACACTCCATTTAGGGGTTCAGTGGATCTCCACAGCCTTATATTCTGTCTTCTCTACTCCAGAACTTCCCAGTGCTCCTAGTGAGTATGCTGGTTTAGTGGTCCGTACCGTACTGGAGCCTGTGTTACAAGGATTGCAAGGGTTGCCACCCCAAGCCCAGGCCCCTGCCCTTGGTCAGGCACTGACAGCCATCGTGGGTGCCTGGCTCGACCACATTCTTACCCATGGGATTCGGTTCAGGTCAGGAGTAAAGGCGGAAGTGGCAGGGGGTGAATGGAACAGGGAAAAGGAAGGGGATAAGTGGGAGAGGCAGGAGGGTCAAGTGGCCATACTGTACCTCTGCCTTCAGCCTGCAGGGAGCGCTGCAGCTCAGACAAGACTTTGGAGTGGTCAGGGAGTTGCTGGAAGAGGAGCAGTGGAGCCTGACCCCTGATCTCCGCCAGACGCTGCTTATGCTCAGCATCTTCCAGCAGCTGGATGGAGCCCTGCTGTGTCTGTTGCAGCAGCCCTTGCCCAAGTCTCAAGTCCACAGGAGGCCCCCCTGTTGCTGTGAGTCACTCCCCTTCGCTCACCGCTTTGTGTGTCCCAAACCCCATTCTCACCATTGATCTGGCTTCAGTATATCCCCACCAGCCACCTGCCTTCTGCTTCTGCCTTACCAGGTGCTTGTCAGGAGGTCCAGACTACGGAATTGCCCAGCAGCTGCCTCAATAGCCTGGAGAGCTTGGAGCCCCCTCTCCAGCCTGGAACATCTCCAGCCCAGACAGCTCAGCTGCAAAACACACTAGAGGGAGGGGGACCTAGCCCAGAGGGCTACCTAGTGGGAAATCAGCAGGCCTGGCTTGCCCTCAGGCAACACCAGCGACCCCGTTGGCACCTGCCATTTTTTTCCTGCCTGCGAACTAGTCCTGAATCCTAAGGAGCCTGGGACCAGGAGCCAGAAAGTTAAGAGCTCCCCATCTCTAGCTGGAAAAATCCAGACATTTGGAATTACATATTAAGGAAGCCTAGAACTGGAAGCTTGGAGGAAAGCATACTGGAGAATAAGCTACAAAGAGCCTGGGCTTAAGAATCCAAGATTAGGG